GGCGGCACACGAGACGAGGCTCGAGTAGACAAAGAGCGAGACGAGGCGCACTCGAGGCGGAGGCAGAGACAGCCGCCCGCCCGCCGCCCCGCCCACGAGGCGGCACACGAGACGAGGCTCGAGTAGACGAAGAGCGAGACGAGGCTCACTCGAGGCGGCAGCAGAGACAGCCGCCCGCCCGCCACGCCGCCCATGAGGTGGCACACGAGGGGCTCGAGTAGACGAAGAGCGAGACGAGGCTCACTCGAGGCGGCGGCAGAGACAGCCGCGCGCCACGCCACCCCGCCCACGAGGCGGCACACGAGACGAGGCTCGAGTAGACGAAGAGCGAGACGGGCTTACTCGAGGCGGCGGCAGAGACAGCCGCCCGCCTGCCACGCCGCCCACGAGGCGGCACACGAGACGAGGCTCGAGTAGACGAAGAGCGAGACGAGGCTCACTCGAGGCGGCGGCAGAGACAGCCGCCCGCCCGCCACGCCGCCCACGAGGCGGCACACGAGACGAGGCTCGAGTAGACAAAGAGCGAGACGAGGCGCACTCGAGGCGGCGGCAGAGACAGCCGCCCGCCCGCCACGCCGCCCACGAGGCGGCACACGAGACGAGGCTCGAGTAGACGAAGAGCGAGACGAGGCTCACTCGAGGCGGAGGCAGAGACAGCCGCCCGCCCGCCACGCCGCCCACGAGGCGGCACACGAGACGAGGCTCGAGTAGACGAAAGCGAGACGAGGCTCACTCGAGGCGGCGGCAGAGACAGCCGCCCGCCCGCCACGCCGCCCACGAGGCGGCACACGAGGCGTGGCTCGAGTAGACGAAGAGCGAGACGAGGCTCACTCGAGGCGGCGGCAGAGACAGCCGCCCGCCACGCCACCCCGCCCACGAGGCGGCACACGAGACGAGGCTCGAGTAGACGAAGAGCGAGACGAGGCGCACTCGAGGCGGCCTTTAGGAGACGAAGAGCGAGACGAGGCTCACTCGAGGCGGGAGGCAGAGACAGCCGCCCGCCACGCCACGCCGCCCACGAGGCGGCACACGAGACGAGGCTCGAGTAGACGAAGAGCGAGACGAGGCTCACTCGAGGCGGCGGCAGAGACAGCCGCCCGCCATGCCACGCCGCCCACAGGGCGGCACACGAGACGAGGCTCGAGTAGACGAAGAGCGAGACGAGGCGCACTCGAGGCGGCGGCAGAGACAGCCGCCAACCCGCCACGCCGCCCACGAGGTGGCACACGAGACGAGGCTCGAGTAGACGAAGAGCGAGACGAGGCTCACTCGAGGCGGCGGCAGAGACGGCCGCCCGCGCGCTACGCCGCCCACGAGGCGGCACACGAGACGAGGCTCGAGTAGACAAAGAGCGAAACGAGGCTCACTCGAGGCGGCGGCAGAGGCAGCCGCCGGCCACGCCACGCCGCCCACGAGGCGGCACACGAGGCGTGGCTCGAGTAGACGAAGAGCGAGACGAGGCTCACTCGAGGCGGCGGCGGAGGCAGCCGCCCGCCCGCCACGCCGCCCACGAGGTGGCACACGAGACGAGGCTCGAGTAGACGAAGAGCGAGACGAGGCTCACTCGAGGCGGCGGCAGAGACAGCCGCCCGCCCGCCACGCCGCCCACGAGGTGGCACATGAGACGAGGCTCGAGTAGACGAAGAGCGAGACGAGGCGCACTCGAGGCGGCGGCGGAGACAGCCGCCCGCCCGCCACGCCGCCCACGAGGCGGCACACGAGACGAGGCTCGAGTAGACGAAGAGCGAGACGAGGCTCACTCGAGGCGGCGGCAGAGACAGCCGCCCGCCCGCCACTCCGCCCACGAGGCGGCACACGAGACGGGCTGGAGTAGACGAAGAGCGAGACGAGGCGCACACGAGGCGGCGGCAGAGACAGCCGCCCGCCCGCCACGCCGCCCACGAGGCGGCACACGAGACCAGGCTCGAGTAGACGAAGAGCGAGACGAGGCTCACTCGAGGCGGCAGCAGAGACAGCCGCCCGCCACGCCACGCCGCCCGCGAGGCGGCACACGAGACGAGGCTCGAGTAGACGAAGAGCGAGACGAGGCTCACTCGAGGCGGCGGCGGAGACAGCCGCCCGAGACGAGGCGCACTCGAGGCAGAGGCAGAGACAGCCGCCCGCCACGCCACGCCGCTCACGAGGTGGCACACGAGACGAGGCTCGAGTAGACGAAGAGCGAGAGGAGACGCACTCGAGGCGGCGGCAGAGACAGCCGCCCGCCCGCCACGCCGCCCACGAGGCGGCACACGAGACGAGGCTCGAGTAGACAAAGAGCGACACGAGGCTCACTCGAGGTGGCGGCAGAGACAGCCGCCCGCCCGCCACGCCGCCCACGAGGCTGCACACGAGACGAGGCTCGAGTAGACAAAGAGCGAGACGAGGCTCACTCGAGGTGGCGGCAGAGACAGCCGCCCGCCCCCCACGCCGCCCACGAGGCGGCACACGAGGCGAGGCTCGAGTAGACGAAGAGCGAGACGAGGATCACTCGAGGCGGCGGCGGAGACAGCCGCCCGCCTGCCACGCCGCCCACGAGGCGGCACACGAGACGAGGCTCGAGTAGACGAAGAGCGAGACGAGGCTCACTCGAGGTGGCGGCAGAGACAGCCGCCCGAGACGAGGCGCACTCGAGGCAGAGGCAGAGACAGCCGCCCGCCACGCCACGCCGCTCACGAGGTGGCACACGAGACGAGGCTCGAGTAGACGAAGAGCGCGACGAGACGCACTCGAGGCGGCGGCAGAGACAGCCGCCCGCCCGCCACGCCGCCCACGAGGCGGCACACGAGACGAGGCTCGAGTAGACGAAGAGCGAGACAAGGCTCACTCGAGGTGGCGGCAGAGACAGCCGCCCGCCCGCCACGCCGCCCACGAGGCGGCACACGAGACGAGGCTCGAGTAGACGAAGAGCGAGACGAGACGCACTCGAGGCGGCGGCAGAGACAGCCGCCCGCCCGCCACGCCGCCCACGAGGCGGCACACGAGACGAGGCTCGAGTAGACGAAGAGCGAGACGAGGCTCACTCGAGGCGGCGGCGGAGACAGCCGCCCGCCCGCCACGCCGCCCACGAGGCGGCACACGAGACGAGGCTCGAGTAGACGAAGAACGAGACGAGGCGCACTCGAGGCGGCGGCAGAGACAGCCGCCCGCCACGCCACGCCGCCCACAAGGCGGCACACGAGACGAGGCTCGAGTCGACAAAGAGCGAGACGAGGCGCACTCGAGGCGGCGGCAGAGACAGCCGCCAACCCGCCACGCCGCCCACGAGGCGGCACACGAGACGAGGCTCGAGTAGACGAAGAGCGAGACGAGGCTCACTCGAGGCGGCGGCAGAGACGGCCGCCCGCGCGCTACGCCGCCCACGAGGCGGCACACGAGACGAGGCTCGAGTAGACAAAGAGCGAGACGAGGCTCACTCGAGGCGGCGGCAGAGGCAGCCGCCGGCCACGCCACGCCGCCCACGAGGCGGCACACGAGACGAGGCTCGAGTAGACAAAGAGCGAGACGAGGCTCACTCGAGGCGGCGGCAGAGACAGCCGCCCGCCCGCCACGCCGCCCACGAGGGGGCACACGAGACGAGGCTCGAGTAGACGAAGGGCGAGACGAGGCTCACTCGAGGCGGAGGCGGAGACAGCCGCCCGCCCGCCACGCCGCCCACGAGGGGGCACACGAGACGAGGCTCGAGTAGACGAAGAGCGAGACGAGGCTCACTCCAGGCGGCGGCAGAGACAGCCGCCCGCCCCCCACGCCGCCCGAGAGGGGGCACACGAGACAAGTCTCGAGTAGACGAAGAGCGAGACGAGGCTCTCTCGAGGCGGCGGCAGAGACAGCCGCCCGCGCGTTACCCCGCCCGAGAGGGGGCACACGAGACGAGTCTCGAGTAGACGAAGAGCGAGACGAGGCGCACTCGAGGCGGCGGCAGAGACAGCCGCCCGCCACGCCACGCCGCCCACGAGGCGGCACACGAGACGAGGCTCGAGTAGACAAAGAGCGAGACGAGGCTCACTCGAGGCGGCGGCAGAGACAGCCGCCGGCCACGCCACGCCGCCCACAAGGCGGCACACGAGACGAGGCTCGAGTAGACGAATAGCGACACGAGGCTCACACGAGGCGGCGGCAGAGACAGCCGCCCGCCCGCCACGCCGCCCACGAGGCGGCACACGAGGCGAGGCTCGAGTAGACGAAGAGCGAGACGAGGCTCACTCGAGGCGGCGGCAGAGACAGCCGCCCGCCACGCCACCCCGCCCACGAGGCGGCACACGAGACGAGGCTCGAGTAGACAAAGAGCGAGACGAGGCTCACTCGAGGCGGCGGCAGAGACAGCCGCCCGCGCGCTACGCCGCCCACAATGCGGCACACGAGACGAGGCTCGAGTAGACTCAGAGCGAGACGAGGCTCACTCGAGGCGGCGGCAGAGACAGCCGCCGGCCACGCCACGCCGCCCACGAGGCGGCACACGAGACGAGGCTCGAGTAGACGAAGAGCGAGACGAGGCTCACTCGAGGCGGCAGCAGAGACAGCCGCCCGCCCGCCACGCCGCCCACGAGGCGGCACACGAGACGAGGCTCGAGTAGACGAAGAGCGAGACGAGGCTCACTCGAGGCGGCGGCAGAGACAGTCGCCCGCCCGCCACGCCGCCCACGAGGCGGCACACGAGGCGAGATTAAGACCTTTGCCCGTTACGGTAGGC